CTCTGATCCTCAGTTTCCCCTCCTGGCTGTAGACAGGGCTTCCTGAGCTGCAGCCTGCTCGCTGCTCACATGATGAACGATGCTAATTTCACCCCAGCTCTCACAAGGGGACCCAGCAACGCTGCCATCATTAACACAAGGCCAGAGGGGACTGTGATATTGCCAGCCATAACTCTGCCGGCCAGCCAGTGGCCCCCCATTTCTGCAGGGCAGGACCACCGAGCCCTGGTATGACCTGCTGTCCCTGGTCCACAGTCCCCGTCCGCCAGGTCGCTTCCTCCCCACACCCACTGGGCACAGAGTCAGGGACAGGGTTTCCACGTGGGGCCAGCGTCCCACAGGGAGAAGAGGCCAAGCTGGGGTTGGGACCCCCACCCACCAAGAGAAGGAAGGAAACCAAGCTTCCCTTCCCACCCTCCTCAGAGAGCAAAGTTCATGCCCTCATTTTGTAAGTGGGGAAACGGAGGCTCAGAGAGCGGAGGTGGGGCCTGAAGGGCGAGATGAGTCTTTGATCACAGGAGTACAGGGAACAGAGCACCAGGTGAGGGAGCCGCACCGCCAAAACCAGAGACGGGGAAGGGGCGGGCCTGGAGGAGGAGCCAAGATCCAGGGGAGGAGGGGGCCTCAGCGATGGGCAATAGCTGGGGGCGGGGTTTCCCTGGGGCGTGGTCTGGGGCGGGGCCTCATATGGGGGCCTGACCTGGAAGAGGGAAGATTTTTAAGAGTGGGCTTTCTAGGGGCGTGTTCTCTGTGGGGCGTGTTTCCCTGGTGTGGTCTTGTGTGGGCGGGACTCGCGGGGCGGGGGCCTCAGTTTCAAGGGAAGTAGGGAGCCAAGGCAAGGGTTTCAGCAGGGGGAAGCGTGTAGATTTGGGACTTTCCGTTCCCAGGCATGAAACGGGCAGGTTCCCGCTTCTTCCTGGGTCTAGGCTTTCTCTGGTGGGGGAGGGGGCCCAGCCTCTGTCTCCCACCCCTGTCCAAGGAGAACCAGGCCGCAAGACCCAGGTAGTATGGACCTAACACCCCGAGAGGGAGCCTCAAGGAGGTCACAGCTGGGGAGGATGTCCCAACCCACCCCGGAATGGAGGCCACCAGCTCAGCCCCTACTCCTCACCTTGGGTGCACCCCAGTGACCTGTAGGACTTGGGGGAGCCTCAATTTCTCCATCTGCACAAGCAAAGAGGGGCTCCTCCTCTCAGTGTCCCCCTTCCTGCCCAACCACCATGTCCATTAGGACCTATCGATTGCTTCCTGGCCTCTGGGCCTCCATTTCCAGATCGATGTGGGTGTGTAGCCCCTGGGGGACCATTTGCCTTCATCATGGTGCCCACACCAGCTACCAGCTCCAGAGGGGAAACTGAGGAAGTGGGGGCCACCTGCCCCTCCTCTGCTGCCCTCTCCCTGCCCGCCACACCAGCCTGGCTCTGGCACTTAATATCTGAATCTGTGTCATCTTGTGGTGAATTATGGTTCCCTGGGGCTCCTGGACAGTGAATTCAGAGCATATATTTCCACCTGTGGCCATGTGGCCACCTGCAGCCCAGACCAAGGTCTGCAACACCACAGCTTCATTCCAATCCCATCTGGGCCTGTAAGTTCCCAGGGTGCTGACATGACAGGCATGCGTCACCATGCTCTGCTAGGAGATGCAGTTTGTATGTGATCTCCTCTTTTCTGATCCGGTAGCTTCTGCACGCGCGCGCGCACACACACACACACACACACACACACACACACACCATTCAGTCAGTCGATGAGCATTTATCTAGCACCGACTGTGTACCAGGCATACCGTCAGTGCTAAAGACCAGCAGTGACTGAGACAGACTAATCTAGACCAAAATCCTTGGGGTCAGGGAGCTGACAGTGCAGTAGTGAAGACAAGAAACAAAATAAAAGAGGAAAGTAATATAGCATGCCTGAGGTGATAAATGCAAGGGAAAAGAAAAAACTGAAGAGAAAAGCGATTTCAGCTCCGTGGCTTTTCCTTAGGGGTCAGGAGAGGAAAACCCTCAGGAGGCATCCGGCTGGGGACACAGCCAGGGGAAAGGAGCAGAGCAGGGCACCCCAGGAAATTGGGGACTCCTGGAGAAGAGAGGGTGTGGGTGGAAGTGCTGGCCACCGGACACTGGCCCTTACCCCATGGGAAGTGGGGACTCTGTGGGGCTTCTCCTTTCAGCCCTGTGACAGTCCCACTACTAAAAGGAAGGGGTCTGGGGGTGTGTCCCCCACCCCACCCTAGATGAAGATAGAGTCAAAGCCCTCTGGAAGGCTGAGAAAAGAGGATCCCAAATTCAAGACAAGCCTGGGCCACTTGGTGAAACTCTATCTCAAAAAGGAAAAATGGCTGGAAGCATAGCTCAGTGCGAAGGCCCTCGGTTCAATCCCCAGTACCAAAAAATTTAAAAAAAGAAAGAGAAAAAGATGAACTTAGTTCAGACAGCCCTGCCCTGGAAGCCAAGGAACAAGTCCTGCCCCAGCCCCAGGCCACTGCAACCAGATTCCCGAGGGCCTCAGGACTCCCCCACCCCCTGCCCACTGTGGGCACCAAGGTGGCAGTAATGGGCGGCAGGAGAGAAATTACTTCCCTCTGGAGCCTCCGGGCCAGAAAAGGCTCCACACAGGACCCGCATACCGATGGCAGTGGCCAGTGGTGGTGGCCAATGGCCGGCCAGGGTCCACAGGAGCTCAGGGCCTGGTTGTGGCAGATACAGATGAGGACAGAGACATGGGGTTGCTGAGGGGCATCTGGATGTGGCCCCCGGTAGTGGACACCCAGGTGGTGTCCAGAGGCTGGCAAAGGGGCCGTTCCTGAGACCGAGACACAGCACACAACCCAATGTGCACATGGCTGTGGGCCCCGGCACATGTCCTGGGTCATGTGGACCTGTGTGGCAATGTGGCTGGGGACAGTTCCTGGGGATGGCCCACTGAGGCAGGCACCATCCCCCTGAGACCAGGACAGGCCCCACCCTGCTGGGGACAGACAGGTAGATAACAGGACAGTGCCTGAGTGGCCACTCATCCAGGGATGCCAGGAGGTGACATGTGACCTGACCCTGCCTCAGGACAGAGTGGCGACCCAAGGGAAAGGTGTCCCAGGCCGTGGGTCTGGCACTTGCAAAGGTCCTGAGGTAGGAACACGACAGTTGTCCTACTCAGAATCACCTTTTGTGTTAAATTGTCTGAGATGATAAAGATATAATTTCCGTAACAGCCAAAAGGTGGAAATGGCTCCGGTGTCCACAGATGGACAGATGCATGCACAGTGAGGTCGTCCTCAGCCATAAAAAGAGTGAGCCCGTGACACTTGCCACAGCATGGAGGGAACCCTGAGGATGCTGTGCTCAGTGAGAGATGCCAGACACAGAGGACACAGCGTGGGCTCCACGGACAGGAAATGCCCAGGACAGGGGACTCCAGGACAGGAAGTGGACTCTTTAGTGCCGGGGCTGGGGAGGGGATGGGGGACTACTCACAGGGCCGAGGCTAATTTTTTTTTTTTCAGTACTGGGGATTGAGCCTAGGGCCTTTGTACTGAGCTACGTTCCCAGCCCTTTTTATTTTCATTTTCAGAGTGTCCTGCTAAGTTGCTAAGTCACCCAGGCTGGGCTCAAACTTGTGATCCTCCCACCTCAGCCTCCCAGGTGTGACAGGTGTGCACCACCACACCCAGCGAAGAGGCTTTCTTTTGGGGTGATGGAATAGTCTGTGGCTCCACAGAAAGATGATTGCAAAGCTGGTGGTAGCAGTAAAATCCAGGGGCCAGCACTCGGGATGGACGGATGGCAACGTGTGACTTCTAGCTCCATAAAACTGCTGTGTCTAAAGCCATCCATCAGCTGCCATGAGGCTTCATGTCATTGTCACCCTCAGTCCTCTCCGGCTCTTTGGCCAGCTGGAGCATGGGGCCTCTGGAAGTCTCGGGATCGTCCTCTGTAGAGTGGGGGATCCCCAGCCTCCCCGTGGGGCTCAGCACCGCAGTGTCTGTCCTTGCTGTCTGTCCATCTATCCACGGCCAGCACAGGGGCAGGCGAGGTGCACACAGGGCTCTTTGTGTCGCTCCTGTCCTCATTAGGAGGCAACTCCCGTCGCCAGGCCTGGCCGGCTGAATTAATGGGCTGAGAGCGTTCCCTCTCGGCTAATTATGCCGGGACGCTGCAGGCACGGTGGGTGGGATGCAGCTTAGGACCCTGGCCCCTCTGCATGGTCACCTGCTGGCCGGGGACAAACCACTGTCTCCCCAGCCTCTTTGTGTCTCCATTTGGGCCCCAGAAGCTCAGCCTCCTCCTCTTCCTCCCCAAACTCCGACAAGGGAACAAGGAGGCCTTGACCAGCCATGGAAGCCCCTGCTTATACCCACAGCCAGCCAAGCCCTGGCCTTCCATCCCCCAGCTGCCCCTGAGAGCTTCATTCCCCAGAGGGGAAACTGAGGCCTGGTGATGGACGTAAAGGACACAGGGCCCCATGGAATGCTCGTTCCTAGGCCTGGCCGTGAAGACATAGGTGCACAGGACCCGTGGTGACTGCAAGTTCCTGTCTCTTTTTTGTGGTACTCAAGGAACCCAGGGCCTTTGCACACTGAACCACACCCCTGGCCTCTTTTTGTTTTGTTTTGTTTTGTTTTTTGGTACTGGGGATCGAATTCGGGTCCTTGAGCTTGGGCAGCAGGCGGTGAAACTACTGAGCTAAATCCCCAGCCCCCTTGGCCTCTTTTTTGAGAAAGGGTTTTGCTGAGTTGTCCAGGCTGGGCTCCAACTTGAGATCCTGCTGCCTCAGTCTCCCAAGTAGCTGGGATGACAGGCCTAATGTGTCCTCATGCCCTGCTTTAGGTTCCTTTGGGCCTGGTAGCCTCCCCACCATCCTCGGTGACCCCACACCCACCTCCTAGGCTCTCTTGACTTGGGCCAACGGCCCCAAATACAGACCAGACACCTTTGATGTTTATGCATTTTATTATAAAAAAATACAGAATCCAAAGTTGATTGTGATGAGGGAGGAGGCCGGGTGCCAGCTCCAGGCGTGGTCACACGGCCCGCCCCACCACCCCTACAAAAGCCCCCGACGCCCTCTCCACAGCGGGTGTGGGCATCCCCCGGTGGCCATACACAATATATATATATATATATATATTTAATATATATAAAACACAGTCAGGAAAGGCGGGTAGAAATATGAAATCTGTATAAATGCGTTGTTTCCTTCCTTATGTTGTCTTCGGGGAGGGGCTGCTGTTTTTGATAGTAGTCCCCCTCCCTTTTCGTTCTGTCCATTTTTTTTTCTTAGAAACATTATCAGGTCAGAGTGGAGGGAGAGGGGGTTCCAACAGACGAAACGAGCTTATTGCCAAGTGTTGCTTCTATTCTAAAAAGTAAACCCCCCACCCCCACCCCCCCGCCAAAATAAAAGACCCCAACAAAGGGCTAAAAAAAACCCTTTCCAGTCCATCCTCAGGAATACGTTAAAAATAAATCACAGTATATTATACTTGCTGGCTCTATTTACAGAAATATAATGTCTTCTCAGCTGGGCAGAGGGGCTGGGTGGGGGCCTGTTTGCACAGGCCAAGATGTGTGCGGGCTGTGATCCCCAATGGAGCTGTAGCCCCACAGTAGCTGGAAGCAAATCACCAGGAGCAAGGGGGCTGAGGCAGGACGATATGGGCTCCCGGACCACAAGGAGGGGTTTGCACCATACACTTGGGCCAGGGCACCTGGGGGTCCACGGTGGGCTCCAGCCAGGACCTGCAAGATGGGGCACAGAGCAGAGATCGGTCCTGGTGTCCCCAGATTCCCCTCCCTGGGGGGCCAGGGGGATTGACTGATTCCTTTCCAAAGTCAGCGGCAACCGCAGGGAATAAATTAAATTAAAAACTCAAGTCTTTCTGATCTGATCATGAAAAATACACTAAAAAACCAAACAAACAAAAAACAAAAACAAAAAAATCCCAACACACAGAATCACCCAGAGGGGGCCAAGGCCTCCCCAGAGCAGACGGCTGGGCCGGGCCATGGAGCTGCCTGGTGCCCCCTCCCCGGGCTGGGGCTTGGCCCGCGAGGCCCGGGCAGCAGCTCCAGGGAGAGCAGCGTCTCTATTTGGTCTCAGAGGCGGCCACAGCGGGGTCGCGAGGGCTGAGGTCGGGCGTCCACGAGGGCAATCATGCGGGCCAGGACTAGGAGCCCAGGAGGGTCCACAACACAGGGACGGTGCTCAGGAAGAGGCGGCAGCTGCCCAGGCCACTGCAGGAGTTGTTACTGGTGAAGATCGGCTCTGGGGCCTCGTACAGGGTCTCATCTGGGGATGTAAGACAGGACGGTTATCAGGGAAACTGAGGCCGGGGCAGGGCCCTGGGTCTCCCGATGCTGTGCTCAGGCTGTCCCAACCCGGCCTTTCAGCCTCTCAGGGATTCCAGGTCCTGCCTGTTCCCCGAAGCACTTACTGGTCGGCCGCACGTACACCTTGAGCCGAAGGCAGGGCCGGTCCACAGCATTAGGAGGTGTGGCAGCTGGAAGAGAGGGAACAGGAAGGGGTTCTTGGTGCCCATACCCCAATTCCCCACACTGGTGACCCAACCCTGACCTATGTGGGGAACCCACGAGAAAACCCAGACTTAATGCCTTCTGCTTCCCTGCCGTCCTTCTGTCGGCTCCTGTACCCCTCCCTCTGCCCAGCCCTAACCCCAGGGCTGAGGTGGTTTGTGTCTTTGTCCTGCTGGGCCCCACACCACACACAGTGGGGCTCAAAAGTAAGGAACACAAGCCAGGCATGGTGGTGCATGCCTGTCATCTCAGCGTTCTGGGAGGCTGTGGCAGGAGGATTGCAAGTTCAAGCCCATCCTGGGAACTGAGCATGAGAGCCTGTCTCAAAATACAAATGGCTGTGAATGCAGCTCAGTGGGAAGGCCTTGGGTTCAAGCCCTGGGAGCGGTCAGGAGTGACAGGTGGGGGTCCTCACAGGCCTGGCGGCCACCTCTGCCCAACCCCCAGAAGCCCCTCACGACAGGAGATGAAGATAAAAAGCACGTAATAAAAATAACATTTGTCACAGAGATAGGACGGATAATTGCAATAATTATCTTTATGAAACTCCATGTCTTGGAAAGAAAAACGTAATTTTTCTTATATTATGGGACTTAATTTAAACACCTTCCCCCTTTCCCCACCCGCTTCTCCTCAGAATTAAAAGGAGAAAAAATTCAAATAGAGCAGAGAGAGGAGGAAATGGAAAGTTGAATTTGACTTAGCAGGAGCTGGGGTGGGAAGGCGCCCAGCCGCTCCTGCAGCAGAGGGGCCACAGAACCCCCACCCCGCTCACGGCCAATGCTGAGATGCTGCAAACGGTGATGGTCACCGTATGGGAACCCCAGTCCCTGGCTCGGTGAAGGTACAGAGCCTGTCACCCCCATCTCAGGTAGGCAACAGCAGGACCCAAATTTCTGCCACCGGTCTTGCAGACAGACCGCTCCGGGGTCAGGGTGGAGCCAGGGACTCCAACCCAGGAAGACTGCTGCAGGTGTCACCTGTCCTAGGTCTGTATGTCTGTCTCTGTTTTTTGTGGTGCAAGGCAAGCACTCACCGTTAGCTATACCACAGCCCTTTTAATTTTTTAATTCTTATTCTTTTTTTTTTTTGGTACTGGGGATCAAACTCGGGTCCTTGTGCTTGCGCAGCAGGCCGTAAAACCACTGAGCTAAATCCCCGGCCCCTCTATTTATTGTTTTTGCACCACCGGGGATTAAAGCCAGGGCCTTTGCAATGAGCTACATCCCTAGAACTTTTCACTTTTTATTTTGAGACAGGGCCTCATATTAAGTTTCTAAACTGCCCAGGTTGGGCTCAAACTTGTGATCTTCCTGTCTCAGCCTCCCAAGTAACTGGGGTGCCAGGCATGGCCCTCTGTGTCTGCTGGTGGCACTTTATGAAGAAGGGGACCTCCACTTCAGGTAGGGACCGTGGCCTTCTCCAGCGAACACAGTATGGAGCTGCGGTGGCCCCCCAAAGGACACGGGGTCAGCAGGGGTATGTGGGCTCTGCCCCACTGAGGCTGTCTCCCCTCGTGCTAAGGGGAACAGGAGGGCCTGGGCTTGCTGGCAGGGGTTCCTGGATCCCCGAAGCCACTCACAGATGTAGTAGTACTCGTGGCCTGGGCGGAACTCGAACCCCAGTGAGAAGGGTGTGAAGAGCTGGAACTTCTCCGAGAACTTGAGCGGCCCCCCTGGGGCAGCCGGCCGGTTGCATTCCCAGCGCTTGAAGCCTCGCTGCCGGTGGTCACAGGATGCGTGACCCTCGCCGTTGACCATGTAGAGGACGTAGTGCTCCATGCGTTCGGCCGGTGGTAGTGGCGCCCCATAGTGCGGGCAGTAGATGTCCAGATAGTCATTGATGCTCACCTCCACGGTGTAGCCACCACCGTCGCCTGCCGTCCCCACGTGGAACCTGCCAGGAGGGCAGTCAGCAGCCAATGGGGGACAAGGACAGGGGACAGGGGATGGGCCAGCATGGGAACAGAAAGATAGACAGGATGGGTCAATGTGGAAATGGGGGGACAGGCTGGCACATGGGATAGGGGCAGGGGAACAAATTGGCAAAGGGATAAGGGAAGGGTCGGCACAGGGAGGGGGCAGGGTGGCTTGGGGACAAGGGCACACTTGTGGGCTGGACAGTGCACTCAGAGAAGCCCCACATGTGGCACCCAGCTCACAGGACCTGGCCCAGTGTCGCCCCCTGCCTGTGGGACCTGGGCTTCAGTGCCTCCATCTATCCTCTCCCTCACCTGGACCTCAGTGTCCCCTGGTGTGCAGGACATCTGCACACCCAGCACTGTGGGGAGAGGGCTGGGGCGTCCAGGGCAAACACTGGGACCCGCTGTGCCCCAGGCTGGGGTCTGGACTCCAGGCCTCCCAAAGCCACTCTGAATGGCTACCAGAGCCTGTGCCCATGCTCCAGCCTCAGTTTCCCTTCAGGTTCAGGGGCCCCTCCTGCAGCCCCCCAGGGTTTCAATACAGGAATCAACCTCAGCCCGAGCCTCTGGTGCTGTGCCACCCCAGTGCAGCTCTCACCCTCTGTGCCTCTCTCAAGTCCCGAGATCCAGTCAACCTGCCTGCACCCACAGAACCGGCAGCTGCTCCCCAACCTCCTAGGCACCTGCTGGAGTCCCTGGTTTCTGACACCTTGGCCCCCCTAGCCCATCCTTTGTCCTGGAGGTTGCCCCAGCCACCCTGCAGCCTCTGCCCCTTCCTCCTGGGACCCAGACCCAGCCTGGCAGCGAGGGCGGAGGTCAGCTGAGGGTCGGGTCCACGGCTCCCCTCCCACCACCGCCTGCGGCTCCAGCGCAGAAGCCGCTCAGATCTCCCCGCCTCTGTCCCCCGGGGCCCTGTCAGGAAAACTCGGCCAGCTGAGGGGGCATGAGGGGGGCTCTGTGAGGGGCTCATTAGCACATAAAAGCTACACGCAGGGAGGGCTGGGAGGGCAGCCTGAGGTTCTTCCTCCTCCTGCACAGCTGGGGAAACTAAGGCCAGATTCCACTCCAGGCTGGGCTGAGAGTCCTGGGGCCCCCAAAGGGGAGTGATGAGGCAGACAGGAGTCCTGATTGTTTGTGCCTCAGTTTCCCCACCAGTTACTGGGGATTCAATGCCAAGAATTTCAGCCCTGAAGCTGATGTCCAGCAGCAGAGAATTCAAGACAGGGAGGCAGAGTGAGTGGACACGCCCTGCACCCTGAGCTCTAGCATCCATCCGGTGACAGGGAGCTCACTCCAGCCCGGTCATCAGGCCAGCGGTGCAGGATATCTCTCTGAGGCGGATGGCAGTCTGGTGCCTCAGGAGCCGAGCAACTCTAGGGCTTGGGTGACAGTTCCCAGCGAGGTGGGTCTCAGGGTCAGCTTCTCAGAACCTCAGTTTCCCCTACCTGCAGCGGGAGCTCAGGGTGTGTACATGGAGGGCTGTAGGGATGTGGAACGCCCCGGGAATAGCCAGGCTCCCAGGTCCCACTGACCCGCTGTCCTCCAGGCCATGGGCATGATCCACTCGCCAGCCACTTCGGGCCCCTAATTTACACTCATTTTCACTCCTTCCTGACCCCAGTGAAACCTCGAAGCTCACCGATCGTGGCACCTTTGGCCAGTGCCCGCCTCGGCACTTGGGGAGCCACTGGAGACCAGTGGGGAGGCCGGCATGGGCACTGCAGCAGTCAGTGGGGGTGAGTCTGGGCTGACCTGGTCCTCAGTTTACCCTTGTCCCTGCTATGGTCCACACTCAGCCCGAAAGGGAACCTGGCTCTTGGCAATGCCCTTCTTGGTTTGTTCTTTCTTTCTTTGTGGTACTGGGATGGGACTCAGGGGCTTTGAACTGAGTTATATCCTCAGTCCTTTCTTAGTTTTTAATTCTTTTTTTTTTTTTTTGGTACGGGGGATCGAACTCGGGTCCTTGAGCTTGCGCAGCAGGCGGCGAAACCACTGAGCTAAATCCCTGGCCCTCTTAGTTTTTAATTTTAAGGTAGAGTTTTGTTGAGTGCCTAGGCTGAGCTCAAACTTGGGATCCTCCTGCCCCAGCCTCCCAGAGTATTGGGATGACAAGTGTGTGCCACGATGCCTAGCTACAGGACCCTTCTTTTTTTTTTTTTTTTTTTTTTTTTTTTTTTGGTACCAGGGATTGAACTCGGGTCCTTGCGCTTGCAAGGCAAGCGACAGAACCACTGAGCTAAATCTCCGGCCCCTACAGGACCCTTCTTGAGATGGGCTCTGAAGGGTGAGCACACAGCACACACAATGCCATCTCTTTCTGTTGCCCAAGACACCTGTGTCTGACACCACCATGTTCTGTTCTGCACCAGCAGAAAACAGGCTGCCTGCTTGGCTGGGAGCTGGACACCAGGGCTTCCCTGGACTCTAGCGAGGGCCCACCGGGCTCCTGGCTTCCCAGAGACCTTAGCTTTGAGCCATCCATCAGACCCCAGAGGCTGCTAGTTGGAGCCGTTGTTTCCCCTCAACTCGAAAAATCTGATGCATGCTCCCCTGGGTGTCCTGCCCCACCCCAGGGCCTTTGCATGTGCCCTCTCCACCGAAGACTGCTCCAGTCTCCTCCTGCTATTTTCATTTTTTCACCCCCATATGGCTCCTGTTCTCTGCCTGCCGCCCATGATCACCAATCCTGCAGACAGAGGCACCCAATACATTTGTTGATCAAAGAAGTGAGTTAGAAAGGTCAAGGTTGGGGCTGGGGGTTTAGCTCAGTGGTTTCGTCCCCTGCTGCACAAGCACAAGGACCTAAGTTTGATCCCCGGTACCAAAAAAAAAAAGAAAGGTCAAGGTTTCAAGGATTTTGAGATGCTAGAATTGTGGGGAGCAGACAGCTGGTCCCCAGGAATAGGGGGAATAAGGACCTTGGCAAGCAGGGCCCTACCAGTCCAAGGCAGCCGGATGTTTTTGTTGCCTTTCCGCTGTAAATAGCGACGGCCTTGCTGTGTTGGCATTCTGAAATCCAAGTCGGCGGCGGAGCAGCCAGGCCTGGCGCCTGCATGGGGGTAGGGAGCAAGGGGGCCCCCACCCCAAAACCCAGCCTGTGAGCCCAACACAAAGCCCGCATCTCCTCCATTAGCGCTGAAGCCCCAGTGGACTGATGCTCTGCAGGAAAGGCAGAAGGGACCGATTCTCACTCAGGGGTTGATGGACCTGGGAGATTTCCCTTCCCAGATGGAGGGCTCCCCATGGTCCGCTCCGCCACACATCAGCCCTGCTGGTCCGTCTGGCCCACTGGCCAGGCAGGTGCCAGTGATCCCCTGGCAGCCCTCCCAGCCCCCGTGGAACCCCGATCTGCCCTTCCCAAGCCACCCGGGATCTACCCATTGCCCCCTTCCAGCAACCACCCAGCCCGCAGCTAATTAACTCCAATTGGCCACCTGTTAAGTCATTAGATGTTAATAGCTAAGCAACTAATTGTAATAACTAGGGTGGGGGTAGGCTGGGCTGCCTCCCCAGACTGTAAACTGAGGCACTTGTGCAGCCGGCAGCCCGATTCCCTCCACAGTCGGCAGGTCTTGGCACTGTTTCCTCTGAACCAAGCAAGTTTCTTTCTTTTCTTTTCTTTCTTTCTTCCTTTCTTTCAGTAGAGATGGAACTCGAGGCCTCTGCACTGAGCTGCATCCTCAGCCCTTTTTATTTTTATTTTGAGACAGGATCTCACTAAGTCACGAAGTTGCCCAGGCTGGACTTGAACTTTGATCCTCCTGCCTCAGCCTCCCACAAAGTCCTGGGACTGTAGGCCTGTGTCACCATCCCCGGCTGGCTATTTCTGTCTCTCTGACGGGTGCAGATGCAACTGGGGGCACTAGGACTGGCCAGTGATCAAGCAAGCGGGGTCTTGAGGCCCAGGATGGGCTGGCCCCAGCCCCAGCTTTTGAGGGGCTGAAGGGGGGGGCTCCGGCATCTCAGGGCTGGCTGGAGCCTCCCATGAAATGAAAGCTTTCAGGTGCTGCAGGGTGACTCTAAGAAAAAGATGATTTTGGCCTTGTGGATACAGGAAGGTAAACTGGGGCCTCACGTCCAGTGTGGAAGCAAAGAGAACAATCAGAGCAGCTGGGGGTGGAATCAGTGGTGAGCACAACGCTCCATCCCCAGCACTACAAAAAGAGAGAGAGAGAAAGAGAAAGAGACAGAGAGGAGAGGAGGGGAGAAGAGAGACAGGAAGAAAGGGGGCCAAGCAGGAAGGAGAGGCCTGGTGGGAGCTGTAGCTGTCCCCACAAGGTGCTGGTGGCCAGGCAGAGCCCAGGGTGTGTTGGCCCTTGGTCCTCACTCCACACCCAGTCCCTGACACTCCTTGGCCAGCCCAGATGAGGTGGCCTCTTGCAAACCTCAGGACAGCTCTGAAGTCCCAAGGCTGCTTTGTCCATAAGAGGGTCAGTGGACCTCCAGACAGGTAGATTAGGATCATGGCAGGTGGGAGGCAGGCCCTCAAAGCCAAGATCCCCCGGTCACCCGGGGGGACCAAGGCTTGGCGGCCACGTAGGACGGCGGAGCTCTGCACACGGGCTCTGAGTCCCAGCTGTCGGGGCTGGCTTGGCCACAGAGTTCAAACGTCTGGTTGAGGTTAAGATGAAAACCCCTGCTGGTCCACGCTGGGCTTTTCAACTGTGTGTCTGGCACGGCAGCCTCTCGGTGGGGTCAGGGCCAGGAGGTGGTTCTGTTCCTTCCCCCTGGCACAGCAGCTCAGGTAGAGAACAGAGCTGACCATTCTCTGTGGATGTGTGCCAAAACTGGAAAACATCCCCCAATAGCAGTGACCAGGCTAGAGCGAGGGTTCCTGAGGAGGGAAGGGACACGCACAGGAATCCTGGCCTCGGGGTCAGGATACCACACCTGCCTGTGGCTCACGCAGAGGGACAAGGGAAGCTGTCAACCGAAAGATGTTGCCTCCCAGGCCCCAACGCTGCACCTGCCATCTGGAAAGGCCCTCTGTCTACGGCGTGACCCTGAGCGATTAAGGAGGGTCCCCCTCAGTCCCTCAAGGGGATGGCCACTGGGGTGCAGGCGGTCAGACACTCAGGGTCCCCTGCCCGTCTCCCAGCCGCAGGGACGGGATGGAGGTCACGTTCGCTATGTCCACAGTCACCACGGGGCCGAGGGACCCCAGCACGGTGCCTCGATTCTTTATGACACTGCCAGAGTCCATAACACAGAGAGGCGAGGTCTGGGGACATGCAGGACATGGCCATCTATGCATCCCCGGAAGCCCAGAGAAGGAGAAAGGGACAGGAACGCAGGGACACAAAGACCCCGAGCATTGGCAGGGATGTTGGGCTGGAGTGTGCTGTCACTGGGGATTCGGGCGTGCTGGCGGCAGGCACTCTGGTGGCCAGAGGCTGCTCCTCTGGACCGTGGGCTCTGCCTTGGTTTGCCCCGCTTTGTGGGTCCTCTGAGCTCCTTGAACCTTGCTTCGTCCTGTTGGTTTGCACCAGGCTTGGGGTGCCGATGTGCCTCCACTTCTCAGAGGAGGCACAGGGGGTCCAGACAACCATGCTGCCTGCCAGACCCAGAGCTAAAGCCCCTGCTAAAACCTGGTCCCCATCCCCGAGTCCCCTGAGCCCCACTTGGCTCTCCAAACCCCCAAAGCTGGGGTGAGAGCTTCTCTCACACAACAAAAATCCCTTCTGGAGCAAACAAGGCATCACCTCCTTCTAAGCTGGTTCCCCAGGGGCCAAGCTCTGTCCCCAAGAGCGGCCACAATGGGGACACTGGTCACCTCTGCCATAGGAGGCTCCTCCCCTGGGGACTGGGTACCGCCCAAGTTGCTGTTTTCTGACCTGGCTGTTGGGAATGTGACTCAGGGCTGCACACACCGAGGGCCGCCTGGCCCGGGGCCCTGGGGACAGTGCCAGCCCGGGCCCAGAGCCATCACCCAGGTCACCAGGCAGGACCACACTCAATAGGTGGGGGCTCCTGGGGACAGAAGGTGTGCTGTATGACGCTGAGTCTGGCCCATCTATCCCTGAGCCTGTCCCTGTCCCCAGAAAAATGGCTCAAACAGCAAGGTCACTGCTGTGGCCCTTCAAGGGCTGGAGGTCTTGGGTAACACAGCTGTCCCCAGTTTGGTTACAAACCCCCACACGTGCATGCACATACATGTGTTCCACTCACAGACACACGCACACTCCTGCATCTCACATGCAGCCGTGCGCCCCACCATGGCAGCCTTCTGTGCAGACACACACATGCAGACATGACACCCCAAACATGCAGGCACATGTGTGTGTGCTCTGGTCACAAACACGCACATGCACATGCCAATAGCAGAGACTCGTGTGCACGGATTCTGGCGGTGCCCTGCCATACACAGATACATGTGTGCGCCACACACACGCACACAGTGCACAAGCATACGCAGCCACACGTGTGGCAGTGGCCCAGTGTAACACCTGCCCCCCGGGACATGGGGCCAACATGCATAGCCACAGGAAATGCAGTGGGCAGGGCAGCAGGGGCAGCTGGCCAGGACCAAGCTGGCCCAGTCAGCGGTAATGGGGACCGGCCCAGAGACACCTGGCAACCAGCTCAGGGGTGCCCAGCCGGGCGGAGGCCAGACCAGCCAGCAGGGCCCCACCCTCTGGTGGCCCAAGAGAGCAATGTGGGGCTCCCTCTGTGATGACGCTGGCCAGTGCATGAGCACTGTAAATGGTGTCACAGCAGGGGAAGGCCACTGGAGAAACAGCCACATCCTTGTTATCACCCGTCAAAGGGACTGGGGCCGGTGGGAGGGGTAGCTGGCCTTGCCACACCACTGCCCGCCTGTGGGTCCTGAATCCAAGTGTGCCAATCCCTAGGGCTCCCATGTGGTCCCTATGTGGTCGTCAACTGTCTCGGAATGTGCCCACCCACCTTTGTCCACTGGCTCTCCAACATGGGGTTCCTGCCTGCCTCTTCTTCGTCCAATGTTCCCCCATCTCTCCATCTCTGTCCCTTCCTACCCAGCCCAGCCTCATCCCTAGGCCTGGGCACTGACTTTGCCCCTCTCCCTCCCGACCTAACGTCCCTGCTGTCTCTGGGTGCCTTTGGATGCCAAGCCCCAAGACTGCCCCTCCCAGCATGCCTTACACCCCCGGTCACCTGAGCACAGGTTCCAGTGCAGCCATCCCTGAATGCCAGATCTCCAGAGGGGCCCCCAGTCTGCCAAGACTGCACCCCCACCCCACCCTGCAGAACACCCCAGTGACAATGACAAAGCTCCAATAGACAGATCTGAGCTTCCCGAGCTAGCTGGTCACCTGGGTCCTGGGTTCCAATGTAGAGTGACAGACATGGTCACCTCCAACCCGGGTGCCTGAGGCAGGAGGGGGGCTGAGAAGGAAGGCCCCGTGCTGCAGGGTCTGCTCTGGGACCACCTGGCTGTCCCCTTGGGCAGCGGACGGAGCGGTGGTGAGACACACAGCAACAGGAGGTGACCCAGTGGCCGGCTGAAACCAGGCACGATGGGGGGGGGGCACCTCTTGCCCCTGGCCAGAGGTCCAGCCAGCAGCCTGTGGCCCTGCGGCAGGTAGGGACAGCAGGGCAGCCGTGAGCACCCCCTTCCTTCCCCGTTCTTGGTTCCTGGAGTGCCTGCCAGAACAAAGGACTGGCCACGCTGGGGGACGGAGATTCCGGAGCTGAAACCAAAAACTTGGTCCGGGGAAGCACTGTTCGCTGGGTTCCTCTGGCGGCCAGCGACAGGGAAGAGCCTTAATCAAACCCACATGTGACCAACACCGCCGGCAATGCAAGACCCATTCTGCGGTGGCCCGGCTGTCTCTCTGAAGCCCGGGTGCCTGCCCTCAGCCCTGGGGCCCCGACCCCACGGCTCCGCTCCTGTGGGGGCCACCTCCAAACGCTCCCCACCCCCCATAGTGGGACACTGGCTGCCCTTGTCCACAGCCTGCCTCAAAGGCTGCCCTTTATGCAACTTTCCGCCTGGGGATCAGAACAGCAGGAACAGAGGGGACTGCTGCTCAACAAGGTGCAGGAACACGGTGGAGGAGAAGTGACCAGTGCCAGAGGGCTGGCCAGCAAGGCCCCCTGTATGCTGCCCAGTCAGACCGGGAGACCCTGAGTTCTAGGCTGACCACCCTGGGCCCCAGGGGCCCCAAACCCTGTCTCCTATGGGATCCCCCATCCACCCCAGCTTCCGAGACCCCCAAATGCCCCAGAGGGTTCTCTGGGATATGGTCAGTGGCCAGCAAACTTTTCTTGCTTGGACAAGTGGGGGCTTCTGCTGTCCCTCAAACTGTACTCAGTGTCTGGCACACACCCAGTGAGAAACGGGGGTCCGTGCAGCAGGCAGCAGGGCCCCACAGCCGGGCGTGGCAGGCTGGGCACCAGGCCACCCGGGTCCCGCCCCAGCTCTGCTCCTCTCCCTGTGACCTTGAGCCAGCCCCTCGTCCCCCTGCACCTCAGTTTCCCCATAAGCTCCAAGAGGAGGGAAGGGAACACAACCCGGTTACACCTCCCAGACAGACCACAGCCCCTTAGGAGCCTCCCTCTCTCCGTCCCTACAAAGCTGGGACCAGGACCCCCTGGAGTGAACGTAGGGGAGGGAAGGACCAGACCAACTTCCTCAAGTTCATCTGAGGACCCTCCTCCAAGACGCGCCTGGAGAACACTCTCCGGCCTCCACCTCTGGGGACCACTCCGTGCCAAGGTCCCCAGGGATCCCCACCAACTCCTCAGCCCTAGGGGATCCCCCAGAGGTTGGTGGATCAGGTGGCCTCCAAGTCCAGAGAGGAAACTCAGAGCGGGCCCACCTTCTGAGGGTATCAGCGGGGATCCCCAAACTCCGGGAGATGTGGGCGCTCTGGGGAACGCGGGGCGCTTGTCGGCATGGAAGTGGGGCGCCCTTGGGGTACCGCACGCGAACTCCGGGGTGCCGGTCGTTCCCGAGGAGGGGGGTCCCCTGGTGCCGCGCACCCACCCAGGCGGAGGGGCGCGGGGCTGGGGCTGGCGGAGGCCCCCCGGCGGGGACGGGTCCCGGCGCCGCGCGCTCACCTGGGGTTGCTGCGGTTCCAATAGACGGCGTAGCGGTCCGCGTTGGCGCGGGTGGCGTCTTCGGCGCGCGCGCAAGGCGGAGGAGGCGGCAGCGGCACCAGGAGCAGCAGAAGCGGGAACCACGGGCGCTGCGCGGGCGCCATGGCCCCGGTCCGCCCGCCGCGCTCTCCGGCCGCCGCCTGCCCCGCGTCTCCGCCTCCTCCGCCGCTGCCGAGCGGGCGGAGCGCGCCGCGCTTGGAGATCCCCGCGCCCCGCCTCCGCGCGCGCCGGCG